TATATTATCTACTCTGCATATAACAAAACTATAAAGAACTATAAGTACCAATAAAGTTAATATGCTAACAAACGCTTCTGTCTGTTATGTAGAATTTTAATTAAACCAGTTGTTGCTTCTGCTCATTCTGCTTGTGCATGAATGCTGTTCAAAGAAAAAGAAAAAGCTGCTGCTGCTCATTTTTTTCTATAGATTGTACACAGGTACTCACTGTGGTCAACTGCTGATGTAAATGTGTCACATTGCTTTGTTTTCCAAAAAAGATGAACCAAATTTTTGGTAGGTGAAATACACCTGCAAAAGTTACTGAGCATGTCTCTATGTCAGGTCTAGTGCACACACTGAATAAATGGTGGCTTGTTTCATGCTGCATCAGAAACTGTTCAGTAGAGTCAAAGAAAACAAGCCATTTTAAAATGTTGTTTTAGGTCAGACTGAGTGTCTTGAGAAGTGAAAAGATTATTAAGATGCTGAGAAATAGAACTCTTTTCTACTGGAATATTTAAAATTATATCTGTCACGGACCCGGCTCTGGGGACTCGGGGCTCCGTGAGAAGTGTGGACTATTATCGTTGTTGTTGTTATTATTAGTGTTATTAGTTGGTGTGTGCATGTGTCTGTAGCTGTTTTCTGTGGCCAAGTTACAGGCACCTTCAGACCTGGTGGGTCTGGCCACACCCGAAGCCTTGCCACACACCTGCTGCTGATCTGGGTTCGTTGGGGTAGCTATTTAGGAGAGCGATGGAGCTTCCTCCGACGCGGGATCATTGCGTGAGACTCCAGTTTAGGTTTAGGTTTTGAGTGCATGCCTGCTATAGTTGAGTGCTGCTATAGTTGAGTGCTGCTATAGTTGAGTGCTGCTATAGTTTCCTGCAGGAGGAACATGGAAAGCCAGAAGACACACGGGACCAGAGAGCACAAGTCATGGATTTATTGGGAAGGAAGGCACGACATGGGAGTCATGGTAGAGCACGGGGATTTGTTGTTGTTTGTCTCGTTTCACTGTAAATAAAGTGCACTGTTTGCATCGCAGAGTCCTGCGTTTGGGTCCTCCTTCCCCACATCCCCACGGTTTGCCAGGGCAAACTGTGACATATCAGTCCAAATATCAGGATAAAAATGAGCCTTCATGTACTCAGTCATTTTTAAATCCACAAACTAGGGAAGTGAACAGAACTTTGTGACTTTAAAAGTCTTCTGATAAAGTTACAAAGCTTCCAAATATTTCATAATGACCTGCTATATGGAGTGTAACAAAGTGTAAAAAATCAAAATGTAAATACGCAAAGGTTTTACATTACTCTTTTTTAAATTAAATTAACTCTTGAAATTTAGACATTACTAAATGTCTAAATTACTAAAGGCTCTGCCTCCCATTCTACTTTTAAATACTCTTGGAACAACAAGTAAGCCTGCAGTGCGAGAGCAGAGTGCTCTAATAGGGTGATATGATACTACAAGGTCATTAATATAAGATGGGGCCTGATTATTTAAGACCTTAAAATGGCTGCTCAATCCACATTTCCTTTTGGAAATGTCACGAACTGGGTGTGCAACCCAGTATTTGTGTTTTCAGATCTCGATTTGATATTTGATGATTGTTATTCCTGTTTTTTAATCTTTTGTTTGTGTTTAGTGATCTTAGTTCCTTTCTTTGTCTTTTTCTTAGTCTGTGGTTAGCCCAGCCCAGTGGTTTCTCTGTGCCTGTCCTGTCTCATGTCTAGTCACCCTTGTGCCTATGTTCCCTCTGTTCCAGAGTCAGTCATGTCTCAATGTGAAGCCCGTGTCTCTGAGTCTGTGTCTTTACGTAGGTGTCATGCTTCCTGTTTTACTTTTATAGTCTGTGTCCTTTGTCAGTGTATTCTGCATTGCTTCTTTCTTCTCGATAGGTTTGATTTGCCTGTGGGTACTTTAGGCCCTGTGTTTCTCTCAGTAAGTTGCCATGTCATACTCTCACTGTGCTGTGTTTCTTCCCTCTGTGTTCCAAGTAACTCTAGTTCTCAGTTCCTGTTTTTTTTTTCTAATGTTTTAGTTTGAGTTTTCTGTTTCTAGTTTTGTTTTGTACTGGTAATAATGACTTCCAGCAATAAAGCTGCCACTTTAAAGTCCTGCCTGCCACACAGCAGAACATTACAGGAAAGCAGAAATAAAACTCAATCAGCAAATTAAGTGATTGCATCACTCTGAATGAGTTGAGCTATTGCAGAAAACTAGCACTGGGCACAGCAGCTTCAATTTTTCTTCACTGATATGTGATTTTGACATTACATTTATTCATGTTAAGGGTTTTAATGAATTTCAATATAATGTGATGATGCTTAGATTCATTCCACCTTCATATGACCTTTACTGTCCAGTATAAAGAAAGCATAAACTGTCAACCTGCAACCTATTTTAGTTTTACTGCACCAGAATCCTACGTCAAGCTCTGACTGTTCTCATTTCCCTGTTTATTTGTGGAGGTAAAGTTCATCTACAATGTAGGCAACAGAAAATAGAGCAATAAAAAAAAATCACAATTTTTTTCCCTTATGCTGTAAAAAAACGATACAAGCTGAGTATTCTGCCCTCACTGCTACACTGGATACAGTTATGCATCAAGTCTGTCCCGTATTCAGCAAGTGAAAATAAAATAAAGAATAAAAGGTGAATCAAATTGACCATCACGGCAAAGCTGGGATGGTCAATTTGGTAAAGAAAATCCGTTGGGCATCTTTCTTCGCCTTTAGACAATAATTCTGATGGCAAAAGAGCCAAACGGGACAGGTAAAAAAAAAAAGGATACAGTTATGCAGATAGATAAACTCCTCGACAACTGACAGGTGTATCGTCCCTTTTATTGACGCTGCCTTCAATTATCAACAGAGTGAAACTACAAACAGAAGAAAATAAGCAATATTCAGTCTATACATTCACACAATAATGCAAATCAGTTGACTAAACTAGCTAACATTGGAAAGAAAGTGAATCTGAATACAGTACACCTTTAACCATAAAAGTGCATAAATAATAGCAAATATAGTTGCATTAACTCTTGTTCAACTTAAATACTCACAAGCGATGCTTTCTGTAAAACAACGAAGAGGATGGATGCAGATGTTTATACGAACAACATGCTGAGTCAGTCTTTTCTCAAAGTGTGCTGCATTACTAACTCTACAGCTAATAACAAACAAATCTTGGCATGAAAGAACTGTAGCGACTCTTACTGGTGGGAAGAAGAACTACACCAGCACACTGAGTGCCTTCATTTGAATTGAAATTTAGAAAATAAGTAACACTGAATTTTTTAAAACATTGCCCCCAGCAAAACGTTTGACCTTTTTTGACCTTTTTTTTTTTTTTTACCCTGAAGTGTTTCTACAATTCCAATTTATCTAATGATTTTAGTTCATGGTTGTCAAAGGAGTTGGTAGCCTTTTGAAGAACCTGTCATCATCTTGTCTCATTGAGCAACCTGGTTACTACTAGTATGTTTTATAACATTTAATGTTATATAAAATTGCAACATACAGTGTTTACTCTAGCTCCACAGAAAATCATTACCAAATTGGATTGTTTTGTTTTTTCTGTTTTGTTTTTGCTCGTCAGTCACTTCATTAGGTACACTTGTTCAACTGCTCATTAATGCAAACATCTAATGAGCCTACAACATGCTAGCAAATCAATGTTTTTAGGCAGACATCAAGATGACCTGCTGGAGTTCAAGCTGAATATAACAACAGGAAAGAACTTTTCAACCAAAATTTAGAAATAATGAGGCACCACTTTTGTGGACATCATTTTGATGAAAAGAGAAGATATTTCCCATTTCACTTTCTAACTAAATGAAATCATTATGTACGCTCATGTGTACATGAACTATGTTTAACTAGCAGAATGCATTATTTTATGCTCTCTGTCTTATCTGTCTTATGGCTGAAAGAACTTCAGTGATTTGCTGAATGCCAGAAAAGATTTAAAATGTTCACTAATTCTGTGATATAGCTCAGCATTTTACTTATTTAACCTTTATTTTTACAAGTAATCGCACTGACACTCAGTGTCGCCTTTACAAGAGAGAAATCTAAAACTAACAAAAAAATGTTTCCCGTCTTATTAAAAACAAGAACAAGTTCCCAGTGATGCACATACTACACCTAAACTGAGGATGTGAGCATAAAAAACCGGCCTACAAGTTGCACCAAACAGAGCCTTAACTGGTTTCATGTTCCGCCCACTGATAGTGAACTGAAACAAGGTGGCTTGACTTGACACAGAAGCCACTCAACTTCTTTGGATTATTGTATTCAACGTCACAAAAATATTTAATTTTTAAATTAATTAATTTATTAGCAAGACGATACCTCTGCTCACTGCTGTAACACTTCAGTTTACTCTGCAGTGTTTAGTCTGCAGCAAGACAACATGGACGCCAGAGCTCTGTGCATCAGACTGTGTGAGTACTTCTCATTTCCACTTGACCATATTGCATTTTTTTTTTTGTTTTTACCTTAAGATACAGTAACCGAATGCATTTTTGTGATCCAGTTATAAGATTTGATGACACGTTTACTCTTAGCTGTAAAAGTCAAAAAGAAAATATGAAACTTTGTTGTGTCTCTTTAGTGATGGCCAGCATGATTCTGCTGGGTGCACGGCATCTGAAAATTGGTGTGTACATGCTATTTTCTCATCTATATTAAAATTATTAAACATTTTGGAGGAGAGAGCAATTCAGAAGAAAAGTTGTTGTTTCTTGTTCTTTTGTGATTTTAGCAAAACGCGTCCTGTGATGATTAATCATCATATGATTTATGATACACTGTAAAAAAAATGTCTTTTTAAGTCTAGTACATCAGTTTAAGTAATAAGAGTCTAAACTGAATCTTTCTTTATTCTTTGTTTCAGATGCAGTTTCTCTTCATATTGTTCCAAACAGATTGCAGTTCTTTGAATATGAATCCATAACATTTCACTGTGAAGGAGTCGATTATTGTGAAGTTCTGCATAAATTTAAAGGGAAAATAAATGCATGTAACAAAACTAACACGAGGACACCAACAGGATCATTCTGCAAAATGAGAACTCTTTATACAGACGACAGTGGAGAGTACTGGTATGAGACTGAAGGCGGAATAAGAAGCAACAGTATCAACATTTGTGTCACTAGTACGTTTGAAGAAAAAGAAAGAAAGAACAACAACTTTTGATACATTTTAATGACTTAATATTGGTTATAATTTAATATTGCTTTCTATTTAATGAAATTACATTAAATAAATATCAAATGTTTGTTGTTTCAGATGGTTCTGTTATCCTGGAGAGTCCTGCTGTTTCTGTGTTAATGGAACAAACTGTGACTCTGAGCTGCAGGAACAAAACTGCTTCCTCCAACTTTACAGCTGATTTCTACAAAGATGGAGGTCACATCCATAGAAGCTCCACAGGAAGCATGACCATCCACAGAGTTTCAGAATCAAACGAGGGACTTTACAAGTGTAACATCTCAGGAGTTGGAGAATCACCAGAGAGCTGGCTAAAAGTCTCAGGTGAAACACAAAGATATATGAAAATGAAGCAAAACTGTTGAGCCTGACACACTATTTAAAATGTGTCAGTCTGAATAAACACTGAACATCTGAAAATGAACATTTGGGGTTTTTTTGTCTTAACTGAACTCTTCTCTCTTTTCAAACTGTCATTTAGACTCCCAAATTGTGAATTCAACTACTAATCCAGACAGTCACATAGAGACGAGCCACGCTTCCTCTTCTGCCACACCTTGGATCACTGCTACGATTTTATTTCTTTTTCTCTTGATTGTGACCATGGGACTGTATCACTTTAGCAAAGGTTAGTGTGACAGAGGTAATGAAAATACTGAAAATATTTTCTTTTCATGCAAAACTTTGGATTCAATGCTTTTGCTTTGCTGTACTGCTCATGTGCTGTTGAACTAAACGTATATGTTTTCTTTGCAACATCAATCTGGAATCGAGGCACCTTAAGTGTTCTGACATGGAAAAATTAAAAGTGATAATTGCATGTCACATATAATGTTTGAAAAATATCTTGTTCATTTTTCTAAACGTAGATGGTTAAGGCACAACTGAAGCTCAAACAGGTCAGAACAGAGATACTGTGTTAATATTTTCTGTTCATTTTTATTGTTCAGTGGAACAAATGTAATAATTGTAATAAATACTTTCTGTACCTTATATTTGAGAAATTATTTTATGTCAGAACTTGAAATAATAATTATGATGATAACATTTAGGAGATTATTCTCAGCCCAAGAGATGTGTTGTCTAATTAGATTATGCATTGTTTTGAAATCAACATGCCTGTTGTGCACTAGGCAAGGCAAGTTTATTTGTATAGCACAATTAAACAACAAGGTGATTCAAAGTGCTTTACAGAGACATTAGAAACAAAAATAAAAAGCATGATTTAAAATTGATTAAAACAAGCAAACAAACAAACGAACAAAACAGTATATAAAATCAAAACAGATAAAATTGGTAGTTAAAATGTAAGTTTTGACATTTAAGCTTAAACTACACTAACATCATTACTCTAAGACGTAGTTTATCAGCATTTTAATGATTTTAATGTTTTGTGTTTCCGTGTCCACAGAGGCCAGTAGAGTGAACACAGGTAGAGCAACATGTGCTGCTGTGAGAAAAAACAGGAAGAAGAAAGGTATGTTTATGAGTTTTCAACCGCAGTAGCACAATACTTTTTCTATGAAGTCGTAAGCAGAAAAAAGTGCACTGTGTGAATGTTTTGTCAGTTTGTATGTGTTATTTATAAATGTGCAGATGCTAGTGTTAATTTGAGCTTAGTGAACTTACGCCTCAAATGAAAACCACATAGACTCTAAGTCTCTTTCAGATATGAACTGTATCTACAGTGAGAGCTTTGAGTTTCCTCATACAGCTCAGAAAGGTTACATGTGGCAAGAAGTACAACTTCTGACATGCATATCATTTCAACATAAATATTTAACCCAGCTTTTAATTGAGCACTTACAAAGTATAGGAGTTAAAAACTCAATAAAATAAAATTTTATTCAATTTTAATT